ATTGATAGATACAAAAAGTAACCTGTTTCAAGAAACCGCCTGATGTCTTGTAGTATTTTATACAGGTCACGTGATCTTTGCTTTACAGAATATATAAATTAGTATATAGTAATTTAGAAATTGCCCGCCTTAGACGATCTCTGGTTTAATGCACTTTGTTTAATTTAAGAAACAATAAAAATGAAATCATAATTACGTTTTGTAAACTTTAATTACGTCTTCAAGATTATCTAGCAAGCGAAAAATTACTATTAAAACGAATCCGTATTTAGGCTGGGAAATTATTGTTATATGCTTTATACGTACGTACGTAACTACGAACAGATCACCATGGTATAGCGTAATCTTGTGTAACATCAAATTAACGCTAATTTTAATTACCGTACATATTAAAGTTGCGCCTGATTAGCAAACTACATCAAATCACATAATTGATGTGAAAATGTTAGCTCTAAGGATAGAGGGTACTATTTTAATGAAATTATATATAAACTTAATGACAATTTTTTTTATATTTAATTTATAAAAAAATTTATTAAGTAAATTAATTTTAACTATTATATAAAGTTTGTAGAATAGGTTTTCTGATTCTAATGGTAGTATATAAGATTTAATTATTAGATATAAATTTTAATATTAAAGTTATTTATAGCTTTATATAAATTAATTAATTAAATTTATTAATATTATATAATCTAAACAATTTTAGATCAACTCAAAAAAATTTTGTAATATACTGTATATAAATATATTTTTACAAGATATAATAGTTCTATAATAGATATTAATTTTATTTATATATTATAAAATTAATTATAATTTAAAAAGTTTAATTAGTAATAATTTTTAAGTTTAGATATTTTATAAAATAGGTGGGCAAACTTTGCAAAACTTTGCAACTTTACTATTAAAAAATTAATAATTACTAATTATTAATAAAGTTTATTTTTTATATTGTCTATCTATTTTATAGAATATTCTAATTTTATAATAAATATTTAAATTATATAAAAAATAATTTATTATATAGTCAAACCCTCTATAGTCACATCTTCAGAATACAAAAAACTATAATTATTAAAAGATATAACTAATATGGAGATATTTTTTATATAGTTATAAATAATTAATAAAAATTATATTAATTTTGTGACTATAGAGAAGGTTGATTATATATATTTTTTATAACAAATTATATAAATTTTTTCTTTTTAATTTAGCTATTCTACTTTTATTTATTTAAAATTAAATTATTCAAAAAATTATAAAAATTTCTATTTACAATTATTATTAATTAACTAAAACAAAACTCACTTAAAAGATATAATAACTTAGTAAAGTAATTAAATTATTGCATCTCTAAGCAGCATATTAGCAGGTGGAGTTTGAAATCTACCAATAGCAAAATTTCGAATATTCTGCTTATATGATAGCTACTGTATTTTGACAATTAGTTGAACCAGATCCTATAATTTTAGTAGCATCAACAAGATTAGAAGATTATAAAGCATTCGTGCAATATATAAGTTATATAAAAATATACAAGCTGATATTGGGCAGTGCAAACCTAAGATAAGTTTTTATAATTGTTTTTTTTTTTTTTTTTTAATCTTCAAAGGTGAGGCCATGCCTCTATCTTTATTAAAATTCAATTAAACTTCTTTACAAAAAAGAAATTACATTATTTGAACTCTATATCCAAAGGATACTAAGACTAGAGACTCAGACAGAGCTTACATTAAAGTTATCTGCGACCTAAACCTAGTTTTTATAATTGTATTAATTCAAGAAAATGAAAAGATGAATATATATTTGACAAGATCTGAATAGAGAGGTAGCACAGACTTTCAATAATAGCTATTGAAATAGGTTTTATTTGAGACTAGTTAACTAAATATAGCAAGAGTACCTAACAAGTTGTTCTATCAACTAGGTTGTTAGTTTAAGTATCAATCAGAGAAAAGAAATTAGCAGATACTATGGAACTGGTGTTTCTTTTGGGCCATTTAGATTGGTAGTCTAAAGAAACTGGCTAGGATATACTAAAAAAAAAATATCAGATTGTTTAGAAAGAAGAGTATCAGAGTTTAAATGAACTTTGTAAGGGCCAGGAGATTCAGTAATATACTTGTCTATAAAAGTTTAAAACCTATCTGGCAAACTTATCTGCAAAAAGAATTGGCAGTGTAGCCTACCTGTAAAAGTATAGAATCTATCCAGTAAAACTTATCTAAAATACTAGATAATATGATAATAATAGATACTGGACTACTCTAGCAAGTAATATACTCAAAAGTATGCCAAAAATGATTATCTTATAGATAGAATGCAACAATTTTAGAACTTAAACTAATATATATATCATATATTTCTTTTTTTGTAGTCAAGGTTAGCCTCTTTGGCTCACTGCTTTTATTAGATACTAAGATCATGTGGTGTTCTTTTCAAGGAGGCTCTAGACAAGTATATTCTGACAAGAGTATATTCTAGCCATATCTGTGTCTTTTGAGCACCTAATTAAGTATCTACCTATTACTAGGTTCTACACTAGATGTCATACCTGTAACCTACTATTACTTAAGTTACTCAATTAAACTCTCTGATTTGAGTTTTCTATGCCAATCCATCTAACCTCACCCGGAATATGCAATATATTAGTCAGTTTAAGTTCCAAGATCGTTGCAAGTATACATGCTGACGAAATTATTTTAGATTTCGGGATACGAAATTAAAATTTGAAAACGAAATTGTTTTTGACCTACTTTACTTAAAAGATGAAATTTTTTAACACTTTTTTTGAAGAGACGAAATTATAAGAAATATAACTATCTAAATTAGATTTGTTATTGTATATAAAAAATTTTAAATTGCTCTAATAGAGACAAAATAGGGGTTTTTTGAAAACCTATTTTGGTGGCATATATAGTTGCAAGTTCACCTCTAGAACTACTAGTATTGCTGATTCATCCTCGAGTGTATCATCTGCTAGAGCCATCTGTTATCCACTTTTAATGTATAACCTAGTCTTTTTCGGATAGATATTACTAAATAGGTTTTATATCTTTACAGGCAGGTTATACTGCTAATCTCTACCGCAGATAGATAGCTAAATAGGTTCTAAACCTTTACAGGCAGGCCACATCGTCTAACTACCTGGCCCTTGCAAAGTTCACCCAAGCCCTAGTACCCTTCTTCCAAGACAACCCAGTACTTTCCTTTTCAGTACCCCCTAGCTGGTCTCTCCAGACTACCAATCCAGATGGCCTAGAAAGGATACCAGTCTTTTCTTCTGTTAACCCGGTGGCCTGGTTGGTGGAGTAACTTGCTAGTACTCTTGCCTTGTTCAGTTTTTCAGCCTCAAGTAGAGCCTATTCCGGTAAGCACCATCAAAAGCTTGTGCTATCTCTCTACTCGGGTCTTGCCAAGAGCTTCTCATAGTGCTATTCATCAGATTAACATGATCTGAGGATTTATTATGAGTTTATGCCATCTTACCGATTTGTATTCTCTTTGTGCAACTTGTACATTACACAAATGGTCTGAGATCTCCTTTAGATCAACACAATAGTACAATAGATATTCTTCCTATATAAGATATGATGTTATAGGATCTTTTTTCTAATATATGAGAGAGTTGCCATTATACGAAAGAATTCAATTTTTTGCTATCGGTGTGAATTGAACTCTAGATGTGCTGCTTGAAGAGTGACAACCCAACCACTACACTAAATCGCACACTCCATATATCATATATTTCAAGTGATTGATTATTGCGCTTTTCGAAATGGTTGAAAAAATTGATAAAACAAAATTTTCTGAATATACTCTGTATACCCCGTATACCATATATACTCGTATATCAGATTACCTTAGCACATCGATACTTGATATACATACATATGTGCTTTATTGTTTACAAACAATTAAGAGAATAACACGGAGTTCTAAAAATAATACCCTAATCTATTTTTAAAAATTATCGTACATACATACGTATGTAGATTTTTTCTCTTGGAGATATACTATATGACTATATGGCTATTAAATCTGTGCAATTTAGATCTATATGCATAAGCAGTTCCCAGAAGATCCTGAAGTACTCACTTAGCAAAAGCAACATTGTCCTAAATATAATGTTAGAACCCGGCTATAATCACTTGAAGAAACTGTGAATTGTGCGTATAATCCTCTAGATGTCACTTTACCGACTTTAGTTCGTTATAGAGTTAATTGTATTTGAGAATCAATCTGAAGAAAATCTTGAAGTTACCCCTACCATTCATTGAAGAAAGTTTTGCAAACTGCCTTTATCGTCCAGAAAAGAGATGCATCGTCACAAAACTAGTAAACTACATCATGCAGAGGACTTATATTAACAAACAGAATTATAATGTTGAGTTTGATCTTTAGTGTAATGCTAGGTTCGTGGATTAAGAATTATAAGCAATTAAAAGTATAATTGGATTTGGATTTTGCGTTGGGCACTATTAATTAATTGACAAATAATAGCTTCATAGTTTGTATGCTTGTATTAGAGTCACTTATAATCACCACAATTTTTACAACCAACTTATATTAAACATAAAAATTAACCTCTATATAAGTACAACTTTCTATAAGCACAAAAATTCTTAAAACCAAGTTGTGATTATAGAGAAGTTACCTTAATTTTAATGTTAGCCCTTTAACTCAAAACACAAGATGACATTGATGCAGAAATTTTGTAACGCTATATTTGAGAAAGTTAATCAGATGGTATCTGACAAAGCCAATATACGTGAAGAATTGGAATGTTTGAACAGAGAGACTAAAGGATAAATGGATAATTTATTAAAATTATCAGAAAGTAGACAAGATTGATTTGGGTAATAGTACTTTAAAATTTTTTACACTTTTCTTTACTGTATTCTTTATTTTACAGACAACAAGACTTTGATCTGTCAACATATAGGTCAATGGAATAAGGTACTCCAGAGTAATCCTAAATTATAATCTACTTTATGTCGCCCCAGATTATTAAGGTGTTACTAATTAGAGTAAATACTTGGTGCGATACTATTAATATAAAATGGTCTGTATTTGAGAAAGTTAATCAGTTGGTATTTGACGAAGCCAATACACTTAAAAAATTGGAATGTTGGAACAGAGGGACTAAAGGAAAAATGAATAATTCATTGAAATCATCAGAAAGTAGACAAGATTGATTCGGGTAATGGTACTTTAAAATTTTTTACACTTTTTCTTACTTTCATTAAGGTTATATTATATAAACAAATGTATTCTTTATTTTATAGACAACAAGACTTTGATC